AAGTCACTTCCGTCCGTGATGCGATTTTATGATCAAAAAATGTCGTGAATGGAGCCCTTTCTCCAAAAGTTACTGTGGCCCGGAAGGGGATCGAACTATCCCTCCTCATGTCCGAACGCAGTGCGTTGCCATTACACCACCAGTCCTTGTGCTCTAGGTTCAGCTTGGCAGCACATTTACTGTGTATTTGCCTTTCAAGGCAGGACACACCTTTCCTTTCTCCTTCTCTTTGCGACGGTTTCTTGGTCGGCTTTTTGCAGGTTTTTAGCGACAAAAAATGCCAATGTCTAGTGTGTTATTTGGATTAATGAACATGTCGGAAAAATGCATTTTTCATGGAAAAGAAAAAAAAGAAACTAACGTGGTGGCGGCTGTGGTGGTCGTGGTAGTGGCATCCTAATGAAACTATCACTGTTACAGGGCGAAACAGCGGCTGAAGGGTTTCCAAGCATTGGTACTATTGGTGGTGGTGGTCGTGCTGGCAGAGGTGGACGGGGTGGTGGTGGTGGTGGTCGTGATAGCGGTGGTGGCGGAGGCAGTACTGGTGGTGAGGCTGTTAAATATGTTAGATCAAATACCATTCGAGGCAACTGTGGTCTTTCAGGATGGGCATTTAATTGGCCAGATGCAATGTCCCTAAAAAGAAATTACACGGTCAACTGTTACTGAAGCACTCTAACTATCAATCTCGCTTGAGAAGCATTCAGTCTGCTCGATTCTGAACTTCCCACATTTCTTCTATTATGTCGGAACGAACTTTCTTGTTTACATATTTTCCAGAACGGACTTCTAACTCCATTCTTCACAAACTATAAATCCCAGTTATCGCTATTTCTGCCGCTTCTGTGAAGAAAATTAGAAGCTTTCTTCACTTTTAAGTACGAAAAACTGTATGCCCGTGAAGGGAAAAAAGAAAACAAAGTTTTTTTTTTTGGAGAAAATAAATTTAAAAAAAATCCTGTAGAAAAAGTAAGTTAATAAAACTGTAAAAATTCATCTCAGCGCTTTAACGCAACACAGAACTCAAAACAATTACTGCTAAAAAAGCGTACAGAAAAACCGAAAATAATAAAAACGATGCTGTTTCTATTTCAACGCAAATAATTCGCTCACCTGGGAAATCGCGTACTGTGGCAAGCATGCGATAACCCTTTTCCAGTATCGTTGCCCCTAGAAAATTCTTCCGTAAACTGAACAAAACTAATAACGAAGTAATTAAATCATTGCTAAAAAATTTCATGCAAATCAAAAAAGACAAAAAAAAAATAAAAACCTTCGCCTCATGAATTCCACGTATGGCCTCACAATGCATAACAGAGAATGGAAAAGTTCCGCTGTAATTTGCCAACTTGGTAACTCTGAAAATCAAAATATGTTAGGACGCATCTGCAGGAACCGGAACAGCTCTACAGCTTAGTAAGAGCGATATTTCTCATGCTTGGATTATCTACAAAAACGAAATCAATAGACCGTATTCGCATAAACTCAGGAAAAAACGGAAGGTGAATAGGCTAATTTGCGTTACAGCTGAAAAATCACTAAAACCACCAAGTTGTAAAGGAGATCAAAGATCAGTATCAAATATTTGACGTAAAATTTCCCCGACTTCAAGCAAAAATCAAATTATAATTTTCTTCCTCGATCTGAAAATATGTCAAAATAGAAAAGGCCCGTGAAATACAAGAAATAAGACCCAGAGAGTCTGAACAAATGGTGGTAAAACTAAATCGCTGATAATCAACCGGTGCGCGTCCTCAGAACCTAACTCTGCTTCTCGTATTTATAAAAGGCGATCAAAAATCTACGAAGGCGATGAAAGGCACTGAACGAATGACTTTTTTTTTTAAATTTATAAAATACATAAAATAATCATCCCCAGCTGATAAGTCGTAAACGATTCCATCAGTTGGGACATTCAATTCCTCTACGACTCGATCATTAGTTTCGAGAGTGAACTGATACAGAGCATGCTAAGGAATCAAACCCACTATAAACTGCTACTTTTGAGCAACCTTCGGAAGAGGGAACCATCGGTAGCCTTGTCGGCTGGAACCCGCTAACATCTGTGCTAATTCTAAATGCTACTGCCTCTCATAAAAAATAATTAAAACAAAAAAAAAAAAAAAAAACGGTTTCTGGCTCAAATATTTTAGAATAAGACAAAAACAAACAATTTCAATTTCTACAGTTCAGATGTTCAAAATAATGAAAAAACGTAAGCAGGTTGAAAACAGCAAAGCCTTGATTCTATTACTACGAAATTTTTTGGCGAAAATACTGGAAACCTGTTTTTGTAAACAAATGAAGAACATAGCCAAAGCGATCTCGTATGTCAAAATATAAAACTAGAGTTTTCAAAACCGTTAAAAAAAGGCTAGAAATGTTTAAAGAGTTTACCATCTGTAGGATCAAATGCTGCGAAACGCTCGAAATGTTCAATGGGAGGAATAGGCAGATCCGGCTGAGAGGAGAAAGCCCTGGTCGCTCTCCTCAAATCAGCAATTAGCAATTTGAAATGCTCAGGTGATTGCAGCTGAAACGAAAGAAAAAAAATTGTGAAAAATTTCACTAATGATTTTTTAAAAAAACTGGAGTCTATTCCCCCCAATGTGACCTATTTTAAGGAAGACTACCCCGTTCGTTACTGTCGAAATTTACCGGTAATTTCAAGAAAAAAATCACACAGCGTGAGCCGATTTTTTTCTCCAGAACTGCC